CCTGTGTTTGTTGTGATTTATATATAGCTAAGTTAGCTAAGCTAACTATTTTCAAACCAATATTTCACTTAATACTTCTGGTAAATATAACGACTCTGAAAACTAATCAGATATTTCGATAAATCAATAAAGCATTGAAAAGCAAATCTGAATTTTATTGTATTTAGCAAAATGATTTCGTATGAATAGGATTTATTCTTAGATTTTGGCTTCAACAACGATCCAAATATGTAGCGTTGAACTGAACAAAATAGATTGAGCTGTCTCATTTGGGCAAAGAGAAATGAATAAATTCCAATCTTTCTAACATGATGAACAACCCACATTACATTCCCATCCGAAAGATTTTATCCCTACTAGAGAAAAAATTCCAATCTATTCTGCCCGAAAACACATCTCATACATTCGTAACCGGATCCATCCATAATTAGATTCCGCTTTGAGATCTAGATTTCGGCAGAAATTTCTTTTGTCCTTCTCCAATCCTTTCATCCCACGGGGAAAGCACGTATTGTTAGAGTGCAGTTGTTGCACAATGATATGAAATAAAGTGGGACATGGTCAATAATTATGGGGTGTGCGAACACCACCCACAAGGTTTGCAGGGATTGCGTCATTCTGAATACATTGATTGCAGTATCACATATTTGATAATAGTCTATTTTGGGGCAATATGACTGTTCTTATGTGCTATAAAATGTGTCGTTTTTTTGCTACATGAAAAAATTAAGTGAGAATTGAGCCCAGGTGTTTTTTAATACAAAACCCACGCAAATCTTTCAGTTCCCTAAACAAATTATTTTGCACCCAGAAACAAACCTGAACCAGTTCCGAAATGATTCTACGTGATCAAAGAGGGATATTCCTTATGAATTTTGCACCCTAATATCTTCATAATATCCACCCACGCCGTCTCCAAGCCAAGCTAAGAAATTTTTTTTTGTTTAATATGTTAGTTTAACTAACATAAATATTAAACAAAAAAGACATACTTGTTATCCCCCCCCTCAAATAGGGTATCTATGTATAACTGCACTAATAACAAATCCCTGGGCCTAAGAAAACGTTACTTCATCCAGGAAACCATAATATCTAGACAAACAGAAATTCATTTTTAACATCACTTAGGCCGAACATAGACAAGAGTCTCAATACTATATTTTTATACAAAGAATCTTTTTATAATACATAAAACCTAATCTATGTTTTAACATTCTGTTCTATTTTTATCAGTGCTCTTTCATCCCATCAATTTTCCCTTAGCAAAATCCAGCAATCCCTCAACTGCATATCAATAACGAATTATTTTACCAAAACTTTTTCCATAAATCTTTTTCTGACAAGCCCAATTTGTAACATCGATTACCCATGACGATTGAAAACTAATCGTCCATGTGAAGAGAAAGCACTTAGAAATCTTTTAATATTTCTTTCTTGTAGGGAAAACGAGCCGAGATGAGAGCAAGAAGTTTGCGGAGGAGAGCAGAATCATGTTACTCTTGGGATCCACGTCAGTCCTGTTTTTCGTCTGTGTCACACCCATGGTCATTTTGAGCCTCATGTTTACAAAAACATTACTCAAGTCGTTCTCATTTCAGGTAAGGGTTTATTTTTATCAGGGAAAAATATTTTTAGAGTAAACCATTCTCTTAATATCTATATTATAATTTACAAAAATCCGTTGAAATTTTCCGTGACATTCCAGCATTCTGATTGGCTGTTGAGATTTCCCCTTGGCCAATCATAGCACAGGGATTGTGTACATGATTCTGGACATGATTTTGAACATGATTATGGACATGATAATGGACATGATTATGGACATGATTATGGACATGATTATGGACATGATAATGGACATGATTATGGACATGATTATGGACATGATAATGGACATGATTATGGACATGATAATGGACATGATTATGGACATGATTATGGACATGATAATGGACATGATTATGGACATGATTATGGACATGATTATGGACATGATTATGGACATGATAATGGACATGATTATGGACATGATTCTGGACTTGAAAAAATTCCTTAGCAACGTTACAAAAATTCCTTAGCAACGTTAAAAAATTCCTTGGCAACGTTGATGATATTCCTTGGCAACGCTCGAAAATTTTTTTAGTAATGTAAAAAAATTCCTTGGCAACGTAGAAAATTCTACAGAGCCGTATCAATTTTGACAAAAGTTTTGACAAAAAAAATGAGGCGAAAATTAGGTCTAGAAATTGCTTATAAGATCGAGTGACAAAATTTTTGTCAAAAAATTAAAGCAAAAATTTGGTCTGGAGATTGCATAATGCGGTTGAATGACAAAAGTTTTGCTGAAATTTTGCTAATAGTATATTGGTAAAACATAAAGTCAATCGAGGGAATTTTCAAATGGCTGTATGGCTTTATTTTTCCCGAATATTTAAAATCACTATTGAGTTTTAATAGACGTGCTAGGACGGGCTTGGCGATTTAAAGCCCAGTCGGCGGAATGAAGCCGAATCGATTTTATATTAATTTTGACAAAAAATTGAAGTAAAAATTTGGTCTGGAGATTACGTATGCGGACAAATGACAAAATCTATATTATAATTTACAAAAGTTGGTCCCGTTGAAATTTTCCGTGACATCCCTGCACCCTGATTGGTTGATGATAATTTGAATTGGCCAATCAGAGCATTGGACCGTTTCTCATTGTGATTTTGAATATGGATATGGATGGATATGGATATGGATAATGGATATGGAAGATGAGATATCCGATATGGTTATGCAGCGTTTCACTTATTTCTAAAATACGACACAATTCAAGCAGTTATTTCAGGATTTACAGGTCTGCTCACCTTTGCAATCTAGCACACAGAGTGCAAAGTCCACTTAAAGATAATCACATGCAAAAATCAGCATCACCTCGTCATTATGACAAGCATACATACATAAGTGAAATCCTACTATTGCCGACCGATCTCTGAACATTGCTTCATCATGCACACAAAAACAGGTAAACCCATTCATACACTTATCTCCCGAATTATTTAATAAGTGTGCACATATTTATATCTCATACATGTATATCATTGTATAATGTTTTTCGCGTCGTTTGCTTACAATTCTCCAATTCACTCCACACAGAACAAAAATAGGTAGGGCTAATCGAAAAAAGTCGCTGTGAGCCCACTTATACCAAGGATAAGATAAGGTCCACACATCAAACCCCCCCCCCCAGATAAGCGCGTTGTAAATATTTTTTTCGTATTTGAATCTCGCCTCGTTTCAATTGTCATTACGTATGTAGTAACATATTAAAAAATTTAGCAACCCCACACACACTCCTGATATTTAGAACAGACGCACCTACATACACCATAAATAAGGTTAACCAAAACCATTCTACGCCAGTCTAACGATACCTTGGAACGACACACTAGGTCAAATCTTCATAAGGTGGGTGCCAGTATCATCCGCCATTTCTCAACTCCTCTTCAATGGTAACAGAAATATTTTACATGCTTTTTAAACCAATGAGCGAAACCGCATTCATAACGAAAACTCAGTTAACCCTGCACTACTCGGGAATCTGGTGCAAGTTTTCAACTTACTTCTAGGTAAGCGAAAATGGTCACAGTCTACCTCTGGCTTCCTACAATCGTACAGAGTGATTCATCTAAAATCTGGATCACGCCTTGCGTGGGCCACCTCTCCCTCCACCGAGACGACGAGGAAAAGACATACATCTCCTTCTGGTCAGCTTCCTCAGAAGGAAAATCCGCACTCAAAGGGGTCGCCGCAAAATGTCAGACGTACGACCAAGACGTCTCAGCTGAAGGTGGCAGTCCTGATGCGTCCTACTTCATTCCGTCGCGAATATTTGGATAATGCTTTCACTTTAAACATTGAAATAATAGTGGTAAAATAGCTATATATTTAGGTTTAGTCAACTCGGAAAAATTCATTTTTACTTTTGTTTTGTATAGGATTCCTGTAAATATTTTATTGCTAATAAAACAAACCACTTGAAGGAAATAACAGAATTAATCGATAAATAACTAATCTTAGGACGACAATTGCAAACGAAACTGTAATTGTAAACAACGAAATCGAAACATGGTAAATTGAGCCAAAACTTTTTGATATTGTGAAGATAGGCACACTCCACACATTATCCAGGAAATTACATGTTTTATAGTAATCATACAGATCATTAATATTTTATGAGGATTCCATTACTTTCCAAACGGTACATAGTTTTTCAAACATCACCAAATTAATTGGACTTTTTACTTTTGTGAAAAAAATGATATGTATCTACGCTCAGCTACTTTAGGTAAAATAAACCGTTACAAAGCATGTAACCAAGGGGTGAAAGAAGTGTGTTAAACGTCAAAGTGTCATTGTATGTTCGAAAATTTGTTAAAATTTACACATCCGACGTGTTTTCAATGTTTGTGTCTCAGATGTGTGAAATTGAACAGCTGATAACCCTTATGTGACGTTTCCTGACCTCAGAGGTCAAAATAAAGGTCACCATTGAAATCAGCGTCAAATTTCCTGTTAAATTGACATACATATGCTCTATGACCTTTAGATGACCTCTGAGGTCAAAATGGAGGTCACCATTGAATTCGACAATGAAAAATAGTTAAAAATGATGTGTCACATGCCAAAACTAAAATGTGACACTTTTTCGTCACTTTTCGTCACTGTGACGACGTCATCGTCACGGGTGACGTCCAAGTGCAAAATGACATGAATTTTCGAAATCCTCGTTGAAAAATAGTTAAAAATGATGTGTCACATGCCAAAACTGAAAGTGACACGTTTTCGTCACTTTTCGTCACTAATCCTAAGTCGACGTCATCGTCACAGGTGACGATGTCACAGGGTCCATCTTCGAACTCGTCCTGTCCCTTGACGTTAGGAGTTTACGTTCAAAATTTCAAGTCTTTATGTCTTTCCGTTCAAAAGTTATCGGACCAACGGACAGACAGACACACAGACGGACGGACGGACGGACATAACGATCTTATAAAAGGCTTTCACCCCTTAATAAATTGTATGTGCACACTTGCATGAAGTATTCATTTAGCCGATATCGTCATACCTTCTTACATATAATTTCGCCTTTCGAAAGTGTAAGTTTCTTATTCTTACATGAGGTAGACGTGGCTGCTTCCGCGCCTACAGGATCGCAGAAAATATTGGTATGAGGAAAACAAAAAATGTCATACAGTGAAATTTTCAAATCTTCTTTAAGCAAACAATTTTTATCTGCGCACGGCTCACGTCGGGGACAAAAGCTATTTGCATAACAAAAGTTTTGAATCACACTCGTAATCGTCCCAATAAAATGAAACCGTTCGGATACCTAACTATCAAACTTATGTTTCTTATGTTTACCCAGCTCACTCCTTCCTCCAGTATTTCGTCGATTCCTAACTTCTTTATCGACTCCAACGTTTACTTCGTGCAACGCATAGGAGAAAATAACAAGGATTTTCCGCCATATTTCTCACAAATTGTCCGCAACAATCAATACTCTCCTATTTCTGTGAATCAAATCATCTCGAACAGCTCACAAGCTTATCTACTTGGTTTTCCTAACCACTCTCCTATCCCCCGGCACGCGAGATCTCATCTAACCACTGTCGCATTTATTGCCTCCGAGGCTGAATTGTGCGGAGATATTACCCAGTTTTTGACACAGAAAATCGTAATGTTGCATATTAACCCGAAGTACCTGTTCGAGCATACATATCACCCCCGAAATCTAAAAAATTTCAACAACTTTTTTTTGCACATGGGCACCTCCATGCTCTTACTTTTTAGCGTAGATATCCTAAGGAAGATATTCGTGCCGTGCATTATATGTGAAGATGTCTTAGAAGTGGAAATAAATAAGATAACTCATCTGTCAGAATTGTGTGGGCTTTGGTTGTCTCAGAATAGTAACTTTGCTCAAAACCACGTCTCAATCACTTATCCTATAAATTTAGAAAAACTTAGTTGCGGTGTTGTCTTCGCACGCCCGAACAAAAAGGTCGTGGTGTCTGGCAGGTGCAAAATTTCCCACTTGTCTAAGATATTTAACTTCTACATAGTCTACTACAAACAAGCAAAAAATCCGGTCTCGCAATTAAAAATTGGAGTAGTTTTGAATTCTCTAAGCATACTAAGTGTTGCGGTACAGCCGTTTACCCATGTGCCGTACTCGATGATGTCCTCATTTATCCCGTTTTGTGTTGTGACTCAATATCCGTCAAGCCTGGATGGTATGAATGCGTTCTTGCTTCCTCTCAGTGCCACCGTCTGGCTGGTTTTGTTCCTGTCATGTGTCACAATCTGTATTCTAGCACAATTTACGGAACCTCGGAAAAGTGCAAGCAAAATAATGGTGGATATGGTTCAAATAATTTCCATGCTGATGAAACAAGTGAATTCCAAGAGTTTACAAATATTTTGTTCCCATAAGCGAATTGGTGCTGGAGTTATTTCTCTATGGCTGTTATGTGGATGTACCCTAATCATGGATAATTTGTATACTGGAGAAATGTTTTCGCGGTTGAGTGCCATTACGGCTCCATTAGTTCCTGGAACGCTAACAGAATTGGTTGAATCTAATATACCGATTGTCACCATTACTGGTTACAATATTGAAGGATCTAGTGATTCCGTTGTGCTCGGAGACACGATTCCTACTTATTTGCGATTTTTCCAGAATAGAAATAAATCTACAAGACTGCTTCGTGAATTGAGGGACAAGCTGGTTTATGTGAAATTCTTCAACCACTCGTCAGGTTATGCAATGTTTCTTAAAGCGATTGTGGGATTAAGGAGTATGACAAGTTTCAATGTGTCAGTTGACACAAGCAAAACTTATGCTGTCATTGACGTACCGGTAATATTAGACGCCATAGCGGCAGGGTATATAAATAACAGGACGCGTTTAGTGTTTGAAGCAAAGGAGCCAACACCTTTCGAGTCCATTTCATTCGACGTAACATTAAGGAACTTCTTTTATCCATTATTTTTCAGAAGACTGAGTTACCTTTCAACTTCGGGCATTGAGGGGAGATGGGCGAACTTAGAACGTTCGGGGGTTATAGGCATTACACAACGTCTAATGGGAGAATCATGGAATGAAATAATGTTTTTTGCAAATTATAAATCCTTGAAGCGTGATTCAGTGGTACTCTGTGAGAAAGGTCCTATCCGCCTCAAAACGGTGGGACCCATATTTCTAGTTTGTGGAATCATGCTCCTGCTCTCTTTGGCTTGTTTTGTGATGGAAGATAGAAAACGTTATGGAGGTCAAATCAGGGCCAGTATTCTGGAACTTGGAAGTCATATGGGTGTTGGTGCTAGAATTTTCAAACAGAGTTTCTTAAAGTGTAGTATGTGTACGGACTGATGCAGGGAAAATAAATTTGAGAATCGAGTTGAGGTAATGTTAACAACTGTGGATGGGGTATTGGTCATGTGCAAAAAATAGGGACATGTAAAATCTTGATCTAGACAATAACAACATTTCAAGCAGAAAGAAACATGCTTTTTCGCAGCGACGCCGAAGATTTTTTGAGGGATGAGAAACTTTCTGGCATCTATGTACATACGTATGTATGTACACATTTAAATACATACACATTGTTTTGCATCGGTTTGGCAATTTATTACACAATTTCTCACATTGGTAATATCTCCTCCATCTTAAACATTAATGGGTGTACCGTTCAAGAACATATTAGATCTAAGTAATAAATTGCTAAGTGTACAAGCCCATACTTATCCTATCCAGTTTTTAGTAAGCTTTATCATGATCCCCCCCTTTTTGGACCCACCTCAGAAAATTATCTATGCAAAATGATGGCAAACTAACCCTGCGATGCTACATGTGTACCCCATCTCGTAACAAATCTTAGAAATCGAACAAAATTATTAGCAAGAATTTTACTTTTGCCACTTATCCCCTAGCAAGTGACACCTGAAGAATAAAAACTTCGTGTATTAATATTTCGCCCGCGTGCAAACTGCCGAATTCGTGCCATTGCTTCACTAATCCTAAGCATACGTATGAGAAATACACATTTCTCATACATTATTAATCATGGTATTGCTCAGTTAATTGGCATGGTATTACATAAACGCCGAGATGCATACCTACATCTTCGGATTTGCCAAGAAAATAACGTATTAAACCTAAAACCGCACAGATCCTGGTTTTACACACAATTACATAAATAAGCACTCATCACCGGCCAGCAGTATCAAATCTACACAAATTTGGAATTAATTAGCACCTAATTTAGCAGCAATCACTCCACTCCACTAACTTTTTTTAACCTCTTTCAACTTTATTTACCTCGATTAAAATTTCCGTTGAGTACGATATTGAATTCATAGCTACATTTGGTAGCAACCAATTGAATTTCCATGATTTTCTGCAAAAACCCAATATTTATTTCAACCAGTTTCCAAGTTTCGAGTTTTTGTGGCGAAAATCACGAAAATCCACTTTTTTACATTGGTCGTTATAGGGAAAATTTCAGAATTTGTGAAGAAAAATATCCCAAAAAGTCAACTTTTTACCATCGAGTTTTCCACAAAATACCAAAGAAACAGTCGGATTTTGAGAAATTTTGAGAAATCTGCATTTTTTAGAAATACGTAATATGACGTATTTGGTCCTCAAGGGACAGTCGTCATGGTACGTCATATGACGAATTTGGTATTCAACGGATTTTTTTATACGTGATATGACGTATTTGGTCTCTTAGGGACATGTTTTGAAATACGTCATATGGCGTATTTACGTGAAAAGAGGTTAACTCATTACACTAACACTTGAATGTGCACAGGTATAAATGCGTACCACATTTTGGCATCAATTTGGCCGCTAAAGGTTAGAAATTGTTTAAAACTACAGTATAAAATTTAATTTTAATCATACCAATTTAAACCAGTGTGTGACCGACACAGTTATTTTTTTAGGAGTAATCCCAGTCTAAAATACGCACGGTCTTCATGTTCTTAGAACATGCGGCAATTCCCTAATTATGTATAGCTGCATTCGAATGTATGTACCCTCATGCACATTGTGCATCTATTCTGCCTCCATACTGTTACCATGACAACTGAATCGCTTAATAAAAAATGACACAATTCTTATAATAAATTTAATTGCAAAATGAAAACCAAATATGTATTTTTGTCACTTTTTATATCCTAGTTTCATGTATTTATTACTCGTCAACATAATCTTATTTAGCTAAATACTTAATCCCCACTTCATGGGGAATTATTCTCCCTCGGGTATCCAGATTGAACACGAAAATCCTTAACCGGTCGGATGCTGGTCAAATATTTAATTTGACCTCCTGATCACACTTGCACTAGCTAAACAGGCGTAAATCTGGAATCAATTAGCAAATAATTTAGCACCCAAATTTCTAATCCAGTATACACACACTCTAATTAATTAATGCTAACGTAAAATATTCTACAATAAGTAAATAATTGTTCCATTCTTTTCTTTTGATTCTTCGCCGTCAAAATATGGAACAGTGTCCACAAAAGTTCTGCATTCATTTAGCAATTAGTTAGAGCGGGCGTGTGAAATTTAGTCAGGAGCACATTAAATTAAACCGGTGTGTGACCGACCGATTTAATTTTGTAAGGAATAATCCATCCTCACCGCATGTTTAAAGCAGTTTCGTCTCGAACATTTGTTTGCAATTAAGCAATTGCACATGAGTGAGTGATGCTCAAATGTCTGTCGACTGAGGAATGGATGTAGGCAGATATTTACACATTTTAAGCCCATAATCGCATGAGTTTCAACCGGTTACTCCATTTTCATGACAATGGCTCTAAAACCTGATAAAAGGTCCGGAACCAAGTCATGGACATGGAGGCAGATCAAGATGACGACGACGATTGCCGGCATTTATAAAACCAGAGGTGAGGAGGCTTTTATATTATCTTCTCTTTGTTTTTATATAATTTTCAAAAATTTTCTTAGTAAATTGACAACAGACGCTCGTAATTACCACTTAATTTCATTTTAAGACGTATAATACTCAGAAGTAAGCATCTGGTGCTCAAAATTAAGTGCATCGAAAGGAGTGACGACTGAATAATGGATACTGTTATCATCATAATCATATCTTAACTGGATTTTTGGATTTATATAAAGATAAGTCACTTTAAATGAGTATATGTCCTTACTGAGGGGGGTACATTTCCATGTTGCGTTGAAAATTGGCCCAAAGATACTGTCACATAGTTTATTGTGAAACAGAATGACGTTGGAAATGACCTCATCGGCGGGAGGAGATCGCGAAGAGGACCCGTGGACTAAGTCAATAAAAACAATTGTAGGCGAGGTCCTAGACAAGAAATTTGATGAATTCCAAGGCCTGGTGATTGGTGAGATGAGAAAATTAGTCGATAAAGTTACCCACATTGAGAAGAGGCAGGATGACCTTTAAGAGAAAGTGGAGTTGCTCTCAGCTGAGGTTCACAGTGAGTTTTCGGCCGTCAGAGAAGAAATACAAGAACAGAAGCGAAGAATTATCAGGATGTCAAATATTGTGATGATGGGAGTGCCGGAGACAACGGCAGAATTACAAATTGCGAAGGACATCGTTAAGATTATCGCGCCAGGTTTCAGCGGAGCGATTGTTGATAATCGTATCGGTGATTCGAGTGGACGGAAACCGCGCCCCCTCCGCATCAGTTTTCACTCAGCCGCGGAAAAGAATGCAGCACTGTCTATGTGCAAGAAATTAGCTGGGATAGAGGTGTACTCTTCAATATCAGTAAGGAAGGATTTGACCAAACAGGAACAAGTCGAATGGCGAGCGAAAGTTGGTGCGAAAAAGGTGCAAAACCAGGATAAGATGCATACGAGATCATCATTAAAGCGAACGATTGACGATGATGAAAATCGGAACCAGCCAAATCCTAAGCAAAATCGACGGGAGGGCGAACGGATGGATCAGGATGAATGACTGATTCCAGTAAATAAGGTCTGCATTGGTCACTAAAACATGAGATCGTATAATGATAAATATTCCTTAGTATGTAAACTAATTATTGATTGTGCTATAGATATTTTATGTATGACGGAGACTTGGTTTAAGCCTGACACAGAGTATTGTATACCGAATGGATTTTCATTGTACAGAAAAGACAGACTTACAAGGGGCGGCGGGGTCGCAATATTGGCAAAAAGCACGTATGTATGTAGAATTATGGATATAAATATTGATGGGTGGATGGATGCGTCTTGTATCGAATTTATGGCTATTAATATTCAGTTCAATTATAAACGATCAACCATTATTTGTGTAATTTATAAGCCTGATTCGTGTCCAAATGATCTAAAGAATTTTGAATTGTTACTTGCTCATTTTAACACAATTACAAAGGATGTGATAATATTGGGTGATCTGAATATAAATCTATTGTCAAAGCAGAAAGATGCTCTCAAATTAATAGCTACTTTGGATAGGCTGTGTTTTTCTCAGCTTGTCACTGACCCTACACGGTATGAGGCTTTACTAGATTTAATAATTGTAAAGGATTATCAAACTAACTAGGGATACATTTTCTATGATAGTTGAAAAATGAGTTCTAATTTAACTTTTTGCATGCACCATGATATGTTTTCATGGCAAAGTGCAAAAATTTTTCTGCAAAACCAATTTGCTAATTTTTTAACAGCCTTCAAAGTTGGCGAAAGTGGGGGCGGAATAGGCGGAGTGGGAGCGTGTGATGATGGGGGCGGTCGTGCCCCCCACTATGCACTAACCACCTGTGACGGTCATTATGATCCGTGTGACCCAAGGAAATCCATCAGTAATTTATGTTTGATAAATTTAGTAACTTATATTTAATTGAAATTTAATTAATTGTAAGAAAATTTAGTTTAGTGAATGAAAAAAATTGATGCATGTTAATGGCATTGTGCGAAGGGGTAAGATCAGTTTGCCCAGTTTGCGCACCAAATACTTATTGTTATGTTAGCCATCTGCTCTTTCACTTTTGTTAAAAATTCTCTAAAAATTGTTCAATTAAGTAAGCATATTATCAATTATTACTTAAATATGGCGAGAATTATTAAAGTGTGCGAATTATTACTATAATTAGTAAAACAAAAATTCGACACCGCTAGGGTACCTATAATTGACAGTGTTTTAAATCTTAACGACTTAGCAAGTGAAGGATTGTTTTTAATCGAAAATTTACTTAATTTTTGAACCAGTGCATGTGAAACGCTCGTTGTATTGGACATTGCCAGTGACGATGAAATTGACATTTACGGTGTCAGTGCTGCTCAAACCGACACAAGTTCCGAAGAATCGTGATCGCAGGAATGGGAGATTGAAAATATCGAAGCAATAATTATAATCTCGTCGAGATGATAAAGATTTTAAAGTTCTACGACAGTGTTAAGTCAAATAAATTGTATCAAACTAGACGACATTTCCATTCAAGCCTTGGACAAATACATTTTCAGACAATACAATATATTTCTCCGAAGGATTTTTGAGGTCGTCCTTGATTCAATACAGATAGATTTACATAAAAGACAAAATGTTATTAAATGCAATCGCTAATTTACAACCAGTTTCAATCGGTTGCTTTTGAAGCAATGCTTAAATACTCCTGGTTTGCCTGCAATTATACTAGTGATCGTGTGGAGTTTAAGAATGTGACAGAAACATTATTTTCAATAAGTTTTGACGACTGCGAGGAGGAAATGTGCGACAGAGAGACTTTCATAAAATGTTCTCATTGCTCAATTAATTTGTGTTTTCATCATTTTTACGTCGAAAACCACTTTCATTCGGACAATTGAATGAAATTAAATCAACCAATTAATTTTCATAGAGGTAGGCACAATTTTTTGTTTTGTATGCTTGATGCATATTGAGGATGAGTGTATAGTCGAGGGCACGTACGCCCCCATCTCCACACGCTCCCACTCCGCCTATTCCGCCCCCATCTTCGCCAATTTTGAAGGCTATTAAAAAATTAGCAAATTGGTTTTGCAGAAAAATTTTTGCACTTTGCTATCAAAACATATCATGGTGCATGCAAAAAGTTAAATTAGAATTCATTTTTCAACTATCATAGAAAATGTATCCCTAGTAAGAGTATTGTTGATGTAATTGTGAGTGATAAAGGAATATCTGACCATTGTTTTTCTGCTTGCAAGGTTATGACTAGATCTGTGACTAAAAATACAAGAGAAATCAAATGTCGCAATTTTAATGTTATTAATTTTAAAGATTTTATTGAATGTTTGGAGGGCATCGAGCAGAATGTAAAAAATAATGATGTTAATTCTTATTTCATTTCGGTTCACAATTATGTAGTTGCAGCATTCAACAACTTTGCACCAGTGGAAACAACAAGAATCAAGCAAGAGGGACAATGCAAATGGATCTCATCTCGAACACGTAATATGATAATGGATAGGGATTTCAACTACCAGCGTTGGAGAACGACAAAAGCTAAATACCATTTGTGTGAGGCAAAACTTTTAAATAAACACATTAAGAGGTCTGTAAAACATGACATGTTTCAAAACACTCAATATAGAATTGGAAAGTTTGGAGTGTGGAAAGCGTTACGGAGTTTTGGTGTGGATTTTGGCAAGACTCGTAGGGAAATTAATAGGACTGTTAGTTTAAATGAAATCAACATGTACTACTGTAATATGGGTTTTCCAGCGGGTCAGAGTCCTTATGATACACTAGGGTCGGATGGTGTAATTGATATAGATAAACAGTGTAAGTTTGTTGTTACGAACTGCAGTACGCATGAAATGGTAAAGGCGTGGAAGGCTCTGAAGCATAAAAACTCTAAAATCCCGGATACTACGGGTTTATCCAAATTTATGTTACAATTAGTTCTACCTATTCCGGCTGTTCGTGATTCTGTTCTAAAAATTTGTAATGATTCTTTTTCATCCGGTGTAATTCCGAATATGTTAAAATTGTCACGTGTAGCGTTAATAGAGAAGGTCAAGGGCGCTACTTCTCCAGAGGAATTTAGACCGGTAGTGCTGTCACCTAATCTATTACTTTTAATGGAAATGATCTATAGTATCAGGCTAGAAAAGTACTTATATGATGAAAATGTATTATCCGTGTCGCAGTTTGGCTATAGAAAATTGCATAATACTGAGCATCTCATGTTGGCGATGACTGATTTAATACGTATGAATGTTGATAAGGGTCTGGTATGTGCACTTGTAACTATTGACTATCAGAAGGCCTTTGATTCGTGTCCTAGGGGCCCCTTACTTGAAAAATTATGTAAAACGTACAATATATTATTGGCTAAGAGATTTTTTGAATAATCGGATGCAATTTGTTGAAGTAAATAGTCAGCGATCTGATATAGTGAAAACGTTAACGGGGGTCCCGGCTGGTAGCATTATTGGTGGAAGGCTATTTTCTCTATATATTGACGATATGGGTAAAGTCTTGGTATATGGTAATGATATGAAATTTGTGGATGATGCGTCCTTTGTATTTTTTGGAAAGATTAATGAATTGAATGAGTTGCAAAGTCGTGTTAATTTTGATATGAATAATGTGGTGAACTATGTAAGCGATCATAAAATGTCTCTGCATAAAGATAAAACAAAGTTACTTATTATAGGTAGTAGACAAAATCTGTCACGTGTGTCGAATTTCAATATCTTGGTCAATAATGTAATTGTGAGGCCATGCGACAAGCTTAAATGTGTTGGTACAACTATAGATCCAAATTTAACGTGGAAATATCATATAAATAATATTGCAAAGAACGCGTATTTTAGGATAAGAAGTATGTATGCAATAAGGCAATATTTCTCAAAGGTGTCTCTGGCCATGATTGGTACTGCAATGGTGTTGTCAATATTGAATTATATGGTATGTGTATGGGGTTCTACTTCGAAAAAGTATCTATTGGTAGCAGAGAAGGTGGTGCGTGCACTGGCTCGTCTTGTCGTTGGAAGACGGAAATATGATCCTGTAGCGGAAATAATAAAATCTGATTTAAATTGGTTGTTTCCGACTGAAATGTGTTCTTATAAAACATTGTGTATCATGTTTAAAATAATTCGTTTAAATGGTGTTCCTTACTTTGCGGGCAAATTTGTAAAACAAAGTGAGGTCCATAATTATGCAACTAGGGGCTCTATAAATAATTTTCGAAGCGGTATGAAACCGAAAACTGAATTTGCTAAGAAATCGTTTAATTTTAGAGCAATATGTTTATGGAATGGGTTATCTGACGAGCTAAAGAACGAAATGTGCTATGTGAGTTTTAAAGAGAAGCTGAAAGATTATTTGTTAAAATTATAACTAATTATTCGATTTGTACTGATTTTTGTTATTCAATTAGTTGATGAAAATACTATGAACTATAAAGCATGATATGTTGTAAAAATGTATAAGGTCAAGTATTTCCCACTTGATGGGGTTTGATCTTATTTTGATGAAATGTAATGGACTAATTTTGCGTGAACAAATAAATCCTCATTATTTATTTATAAAACCACCCCCACCCCCACCCAAATCCTCCCCCACCCCCACCCATATCCACCCCCACCCCCACCCAAATCCACCCCCATCCACCCCCACTTTGCCCCATAAAGATTGTGGGGGTGGTTTTGTGTGGGGGTGGATGGGGGTGGGGGTGGATTTGGGTGGGGGTGGGGGTGGTTTTATAAATGCCGGACGATTGCCATCTCCACAGTCTTGGGAACGGTAAACTGGAAATTTTACAAAATGGTGAGATTTGTCTTATATTTATTTACGTGCCTAACACTACATGCAACAGCAAAATACATATCGCCTCAAAATTTTTTGAGCAGATATTTTGCGCAGATTGGCACAGTTAGTTGTGTTAATCTTGGGCTTAGGAGGAGAGCTTCACCACCTGCCCTTTTGGGATCTTTATGTACTTCTGATATGTGGTAGGGTCCTATGAGTGTACTAAAACCCTGAAGTGGTTTGACTCCATGGCAACATTTGCGCCCGCCACACCCACTCGAAGGGATGAAAACCACAAAAGTTACTGTGATCCCAGATACTTGTCTGATAATATCCAATAGCAATCTCAACTTTTTTGAAATTTTTGAAATTTTCGAGCTGATGAATTATTTGAAAAAATTCAAAATTTCAAAAAAGTTGAGATATCTACTGGATACGATCACACAAGTATCTGGGATCACAAAAATGCAAATTTTATAAAAATCCCAGCAAAATTGGATTTTTGGTGACATTTAAAGCACATGAAAACAGGGATTTTTTCGTGTTTTTGGCGTCTTTGAGTGGGTGTGGCGGGCGCAAATGTGGTCATGGAGTCAAACCACTTCAGAGTTTTAGTACACTCATAGGACCCTACCACATATCCAAAGGACATCAAGATCCCAGAAGGGCAGGTGGTGAAGCTCCCCTCCTTAGAACTATACCATCTCGCAATGGGTTGGTGGGCAGGCGCAAAACATAGACAGACCGAAAATTGTTGACATATTCTCGGCACTTTTGACAAGCAATGCGACAAATTTGATTCTTGACCTCAGGGAGGAGAGTCCATTGACTGTACTAGATGCAGAGTCAGGATACGGAAACTGTTTTCACGCATTATTTTCGAGGAGGCTCAGTCGACTTTACGTTTCAGGAATTGGGGAGAGATGGGACAGACTGGATGCAGCCTGGGCTATCGCCATCGTACAAATTGTACGGGGAGACCCGAGGCGTAAAGCGTACTTCTATGCGACTCAAAAGTTCAGGCGCAAGTCGAAAGTGGTGTTCAATGTGGAAGGGCCAATTCGCCTGAAAACGGTGGAACCAGTGTTTATCTCGTCCACGGCCACAATTCTTCTTGCCTTCATTAGTTTAATTGTTGAGATAAGATCGGGATATCCGGCCCACTCAAGGAAACTAAAGTGTGAAATAGTATCGGTAATTAGAGTAAAATCGGAAATGTTGAAATTGTTACATGAATCATGTAAATGTTTCAATATCTCATCAACCCACAGCGTTACTAATTGTTGTTGTCACGGTGAGATGAGAACAATCACAATAAACTAATTCTTAAAAAACACTTAGGTAAGGCTAACTTAAAAGGATTAAACAAGGAATACTTATGAATGTGTGAAATTGAAGGCGCAGAACTTTCTTCCGATCCATCTTAAAATAATCATGCAATAAGAAAGCACATATTCATTTAAATGTACTGGCCACACCGTGGGCCGCTAACAATTAACTAACAAACACCATGAACTATTATATTCATGATTTTCATAAATTCATATGAATCTGTCTGTGAATTGCCAAACTTATTAGACTTATTAATCTATATTTCTTCCTCGTCATCTAAGAAAGTATGCGGTAAGGATTTATTAGGCAAAACTTATGGAATTTTAACTTTCTTCGTTTCAATATATATCCAAAAATGTGTGACTACCCAACGCCAGATCAGTCAAATTGTTAAAACTTACCTAACCTATATGTACATTACCTAACCAATACATATTTGCGCTAAGAACGAAGACATAAATTCAGAAAACGGAAGTCAATAATAATTTTTGACTCTAATAGTTTCAATTACTAGCTGGAAATAAAACGAATATGTTTATTTCATAATATATTTATTTTATAAGTTGTATAATCCAACGGCCCACGGTGAGGCCAGTGCAATTAAATCTGTTGCGATTCGCAACATTCGATTCGATGACATGCGATTCTAAATTCCTAGCCAACTTGCAGCAAAATTCAATGAAATATATACCACCGGAATTGTTCCTGACGAATGGACTCTTATCTTACTCCGACCGATTTTTAAAAAAGGTGACCCTAACTTACCCTCTAATTATCGCCCCATTGCTCTTGCCACAACGATTTTAAAAATCTTTACTACAATCCTCTCAAATCGTCTTCAGAGCTGGGCAGAAAAGTATGGACACTTCTCTCCATTCCAGGCAGGGTTCAGGAAGAAAATGGAAACTCTAGAGCAAATATTCTGCCTCCTAACCCTTATCCAATCCAAACTACGGAATCCTAGTGGAAAGTTATTTGCGATTTTCATCGATGCAAAAATGGCATTTGATTCCTGCCTCCACGATAGAATGTGGAAAGTATTGAGCAAGAGAGGAATAAGTTCAAAGTACCTGAAAGTTCTGACATCACTCTATAGTAAAGCTAATGGACAAATCCTCACTCCAAACGGACTCACATCATCGTTTCAATTCCAAAAAGGAGTTTTGCAAGGGGAACCACAATCATCATGCCTCTTCAATTATTTCATAGATGGTCTTGCAAGACGATTGCAAAGAAGCGGCATCTCTCCCGTCAAAATTGGTTCAACTGACTTTCACATCCTTATGTTTGCCGATGATGTCGTCATCGTTGCTAATTCTGCTGATGCTCTTCAGGGAAAAATAAATGTTGCTGCAAAGTTCTTTAAAGACCGTGGTTTACTGTGCAACATTTCAAAAACGAAAGTGCTCATCTTCGCCAAGAAAAAACCCAGCGGACTCCCATCTTTCAAATGGAACAATGATGCTATTGAGAATGTAAATTCTTACACATATCTAGGAGTGACAATGCATAGAAATGGCACCTTCAACCATGCTCATAAAGAATTTTAAGAAAAGGCAACTGCAGGATGAAAGTTCTTCATATTACAAGAAGATCTGGGGTTCCACCTTTATCTACACAATTTAAACTATTTAACTCCATCGCACGGGCTACTCTTCTTTATGGGTCACCAATCTGGGCAATGAAATTCGTGGACGACATCGATAAATTACAAATTCGTTTTCTTAAAAGGTTACTCAGACTCCCCCCATCAGCACTTGATTACTTCGTGAGACTGGAAACCGGCGCACGGGATACCCGAATACAGCACCTTGCAGACACATTGGGCTTCTGGGAAAGGGTATACAAGAAAAAAGACGACTCTCCAGCAAAGCAATGCTTGATTACACAAATGAAATGGTCTCGGCTCAACTCGACCCCTATGCAACGAAAACACTGCTGGGGAGAAGATTTTCTTAACCTTCTCAAACTCGCAAAATGTGGAAACCCTCCCTCAACATTGACATCCCTTAGCACGATGAGGAAATCCCTTCTCACAAACTACGAGCTGCACCTTAAAAATCAAGACGTTCACAGGATGCAAAATTCCCACTTCATACCGAACTACCAATTAATCAAACCAAAAACCGACACAGAAGGTTACTTCAACATGAATCACTCCATGCAGAAATGCAGTTTGATGACTCAATTACGACTTAATAAGTTTAGCATTAAAATTGGACAATCCTATATCCCTCTAAATTCAAATTGCCCATTATGCAGTGATATTTGTTCTGTTGAGCACCTTATGTTTACCTGTACTTGTTTAAAATCTGAACGACAATCATTAATCTACCCATTAATTCCTAATCTTAATCCAATTGAATTTACCAATATGCAACTTTATATTGCTCTTTTTTCTGCGACATGTACTGATAAAGTTCTGAATAACTTATTTCTTTTTTGGCATAAAGTCACAAAATATTTTGACCTATGTTCCGACTAATAATTAATTTTAATTATTTTTACAATTTTACGATTATCAATATTATGTAACCATTTATGATGTGCAAAGGCTGTTGGCTATGATGCAATAAATCAATTATTATTATTAAGTGGATGATCTTTATATACTAAATATTTAAATCCTCAAATTTTTGTCAGGTATTTAAATACTCAATAGTTAATATAATAGTAATTAAATAGTATTAGCATCAGAATTACCAACTCTGAATTGTTGGGATCCCGTTGAATCGCCAACAACCAATATAAGCTAGCCTCAAAATAAAGCAGTTCCTTAAACTATGAGTTTTAAGGAACTACATAACTTTAACTCCTGGAAATGTTCGCAAATATTTGAGAAAATTATTTTCAGGTCAAATTAATAAAACTTAAAGTTACAAGCTGCAAATGTGAAAAAGTTGTACAAAAGCTAAAGTACAATTCACGTCTTTAAAATTTTTAATTTTATGAAAATTGTTACGCAAATTTGTTTAATTTTCAAATGCTGTAGAAGCCGAATTTTAACAAACTGTTCGATTTTTGTCGCACTTCATGAAAATTAATCTATAAGTGTGGGACACCAAGAGAATTCTTTGAATTCGGCAATTAACAACTTCAAAATCCGAGTTTTGCATCGCTTAAAAATATTCAATTAATATTTATATAAATAATTAAATCCTAAATACCCGCAGTATTCAAATTACTTAAACACTAATTACTTCATACATTTTATGCCACTCAATCAAGTATTTAAATATTAATTACTGAATACTTGAAATTTAATTACTAAATTTTGAATAATAAATAATAAATACTAAAATTCGATATTTAAGTGCCGTTCTTAAATAGTTACCAAAGTATTTAAATACTACAACCCTGCCTTTCCTGACTCACCTCTCTTGACTCTAACTTTCTTGCAATATGAATGTATGAGTTTGTTTACTTAACATAAATTTCGTTCATGTTCATTCATATTTTAAGTAAACAAATAGTTTCCGGTCATATTCTGGAATATTATAACAAAGATACACATCTAAGGAGGTACCCAAAATCAAGAAACGTCAACATATATATGTAAATGAAATTTAGGCCTAAAATATCATTGAAGGTTTTTGTTAAGAGACGCGCGCGTATCGTCAAATCTCGCCCAATGCTTACTTGGCAATTGTATGTAAATTATTGAATAGCACGGATGACGGAGGCTCAGTGGAAAACGACTTTAAGGTTTGACGTTATTACCAATCCTAAATAATCAGCATTTCCGGAATACATTTTGAATGCATACAAAACCTATGTAGCAGTCAATTCTTGCCGACATAATAGCAAATACAAAACACAATTTTCTGTTTGCAGATTTATGCTCAAACGTATGTAGAATTGTTGTAGCCGATATTTTGAATTATCTTCACCAAAGTGCTCATCTCTTATAAACGATATTAAAGGAAAGGAACTTATTTTATAGATTTTTCATCAGACAAATAAATAATAAGTATAAAAAGGATTCTGGATAGATTTTCACAAGTCTGCAATTTCATTTATCATGTTGTGTACCGAAATTGTCCCGATTCTAAAATACCACCTGTGGGTGTAGCGTTCACATGTGCCTCCCATTCGACTTTGACGAAGGATCCAATCGATTAGTTGGGGCCCGATCAGTTCGACAAATCAGAATGTCTCAGTTTCAATGCGTTCTTTCTACCTTCTACTGTTTCGCCATGTTTCTCCTCCTCGCAATCGGGGGCTTATCAACGACTGAAAAGTTTCAAGCGTCACCCTTCTTCATGCTGAATCTCTTGGCATGCATTGTCCGTTGGAGCAACGTCATAGGAAATGACGCCATTCAGATTATCAACTCATTTTTGGAATTTGAACATTCCACTGTAAAAGGTATGTAACGTTTCAAACAAACATACCTAGAAATTATAACCATTCCGGTAATGATTTATTTCATTAACAGCTATTTCTTCAAATACTGGGACTACTCCGGTGGCCAAAGCTATGAAATATTTCATTGCATTGATTCTAATTTCCCTCCGGATTATATCCATCATGCAAATGACGCTGTTCCTCTTTGCCCCGTGCACAGTCCCCTTCATTGTGTCGATGTCGGTGGAATGTAGAGGAATTCGGACAGGGTTAGGCCCATCTCGATGGATAGGGCATATCTTGGACACGTGGATCCTGTCACATGGCTGCTACTCAGCCGCCATTCCAGTCCTCTTCGTCTTGTGCGTGGGAATTGTATGTTTTCTGACGTATTTCGACGTCTTGACAAGGTTGGCAAGTGCAGATATTTTCTTTAGTACAGGTGTAAATATTGTCTAGCTTATGCAAATAATTATCTAAATACACTAAACATGATATTTTTCTAAATTTTATGGTACAGTTAAGATTGTTAATTATCGACCGATAAATCCCAAGTTGATCGATCGATTAATACAATAATGTAGTGCTAAGAATTTTTAAACTGAAGACAATATTCAATTCAAGATAGATTTATTTATTTCTCATCTGATATGGCCGAGGCCCTCATCATTACAAATTACAGAGTTGTACATATGTGCAAATGTAGATAACCAAATAGGTAGGTAGTCAGAGGAATGGAATAAAAACCTAACTATGGTGGAGAGTTAGGAAAACCTCCATCACCTCTGGGAATGTGGCCCAGAGGTCCATTCGGCTCTGACTACCTGGACACCAGATAGGACAATGAATGATAGAGATCATAGGTAGATTCCATGAGATAGTGGTGATATCCAAATGAGGACGGCGTCGTGACGGCGGAAGCATGATGAGTGAAGGTTGTTGGGCGGGGCGTCCACGGACCACGAACTACCTTAGCACCCTCTCGGGCACGGGCTACGTGTCCCCTTCACGGTCACACAGTGTGACCAGGGCCGAGTGAACACTACCCACTTGCCCCTTCACCCCTCACAGCACAACCGGGTCATGGGACCCCCGTAGGCCCGACTACGCTGCCCACCGCCATGCACGACCCCGTCCTCACTCTTCCACCAACCACCCCCCACAGTCACCACCCCGACATACCAAACAATGACCTACCTGGGGGAGTCCTCCATGGCGTAGATCCTCCCGTGCACTGGGTCCGGCGAATCCATCTTCGCCTGATGGCTCAGCTTGTCGTTGCTGGGACGGGTGTGGCAGGGGGTGTCACCAGGCACGCAGGTGGGGGGTGTGAGTGGACGAGGCTCACATGGCGAAAAGGCTGGGACACACTTGACTTGCCCTGGCACACCCGCGACCCAGATGGAAGAGAGAGAATCCAGTTGCAGAGCGAGAGAGAGACACGTCGTGCACGGTTGGAAGCCAAGGAGGATCTCAACTGAAGACAATATTTGTTGCTGTAATTGACAGAGATGTGATTAAACTGAAGGTAAAATTTGACTATTTACATAGTTACAGAAGAAGCCTCCGGCTCATAACTTTTACCCACATGGCGAGCTGCATCCGGCTCTACCGATCGATCCATCTGTTGGAGAAGTCGTTCAACGCTTTCCTCATGCAGCGCATCCTTCCGCCCTTCATGTTAACTTGCATCGGGCTGCAAATCATGGGTCTGTACGTGTGCATTATGCACCAAAAAGATATTCCGATAGCTGGACTCTTGGTGTTCCACCTTCTCGGTGTGGACGCAATGATCTGCAGCATCTTCACCATGGCGTCCTTGGTCCATACAAAATCCACAAATGTGTTGGAAATGCTAGGAAGAACTGTGGCAGGAATTGGCAAGAATAGAAAAGTGGTCAGGCGAGAACTGAAATCGCTGACAGTAATGAACTTAAAATTCGGGTCCAACTTTATCGATCGAGAAACGCCGTTAAACATACAGTCATTCGCTTGGAATCAAACGGTGTCACTTTGTCTGATCAAGTCTGGTCAGGGTATTACCTAAATTAGTTGAAAATTTAAAAATACAAATCTTTCACCACAAATTGTCCACGGATTCAGTACATGCTTCAAACCGGACGTCTTCACCACTGGATTATTACAAGAGGAGGAAAATGTATACAAAATTGTACTAAGAATTTTTTTTTGCTTTTTTAAAAATCGAATAAACTGGCACAACCTTACATGAAATATTAAACGATATCCACAAACAATAGTAAAAATCGAGTCTAAAATTAGGAAGATTTCTATCATTTTGATGACTCCAACTGTTTCAACGAATATTTACTCTTTGGTGGAAAGTGTTCTTACGAAATTTCTTTATTTAATTTGCTACATATTGAAATATCATCATAAACACATAAGAGAAGAAATTAATAAAAAATTGTGAAGAGTGTGCATTGTGACGGAACATGGTCCTCAAATAAACAATGCGTATTTTTATGCCATTCTAGTATCCTGTGATCCAAACACAACACATACCTAACTGAAGCCGAATTACTAAAACCTCTTCCCCCTCAGCAATATCAGCGAGAGGGTTTTATCAATGCAGAAATTCTGCATAATCACAGGTGTTCCATTATCAATGAAATTCGAGCCAAACTTGATTTTGAGCACGTTGCAGGCTAACAGTTCTTTTCTCACGAACTTCGACATTCTTCCTTGATGCGTCTTCTCAAATAAGCTCAACAAGCGTTGCGACGCGCTGTAAACTTTTGAGGCAAGCGTGATGATCAGAATGTTATTGATTCCGGCAGACATCGCAATGATTGGGAATATGAGAAAGCCAGGTATCGGGATTTCTTGATGTAAGGTGAAACACACGAATAGGGTGGCGATTTCGATGGCAGGGATGCAAATCATTATCGCGGGTAGGATGCGTTCCGTGAGGACGACGTTGAATGAGTTGTCCAAAATTTGTATGTTGCGATACATTTGTATAAAATCCCGAGGGTCGTTATGGGTTGACTTTGTTCTGATATGGCTGTTTTCAAATTAAATTGTTAATATGTTACTTTAGCTGATTTGAAGTATGTCTACAAATAAAAGGAGTTCTACTGGTTTATCAACGGATTTAAATAATCACATCATTTCTGATATACACGTCACTTGTTAGGTTTCTGTGATTATGGGAAAATAAAACGAATTTCTTTAATATGCGCTAAACGCATGTTTAAAAAACGAATTGAGTTGTATGTAGGTTATATCCGGCTTAATTTCCGGATTCAGCATAAAATTCTTCATACCGGACTCGAGCTACCATCTTTCATCTTCAGTATACTAATCAACTTCAAAAATCCACTGTGTTCTACTCGGCTAAAATCACATAGCAAAATTCTCACAATTTCATGCTGATTCTAAATACTTATAAGGTTGGTTTTGTCCCAGAATTTATTTTAGACAGGTTGTTTCATTTCTGCAGTTTTATAACAAATCACATAATATGCCACTATCACATAAGTATTCAAAGTGTTTTTCAATCAACCAAGAGTTTAATTGTAAAAAAATCTCGATTCCTTGAAAACTTTTACTAACGAACCTTTCCAATTCCTCAATACAGTTGAGTATGAAAACGACTCCCACAAAGAAGACATAGTACATCAAAGTAGTTGCTGAGTAGAGCATATGGGTTGACTAGGGTATGGGTATCCATGCCTCCAAGATATGAATCATAAATCCAACCACGTGACCCAGACAGGTCGTTTGTACATTCTGACAACCGTGGTACATGGAAAAAACGAAGGGCGGTGTGCACGGGAGTGCCCGCCATAACAGAAAGATCAGTATGATGAAGGCAGGAGGGACAATTTCACAGATCTGAATGAGCACCTTGACCCACCTCGTTAGCACGGATGGAGGCCGCTGTAGGAGATCTACATATCGTCGTACTAATTCATAAAAGACCTAAGTGCAGTCGATGCTAAATTCAGAAAAGACCTAAGTGCACAGAAAAAAAGTAAAAAAAAAGACCGATGTGCAAGTATGTATTTACTTATGGCTAAATCGCGCGATATATATGAAAAATCATTTTGGCAAGATTTAGCCATAAGTAAATACATACTTGCACGTAAGTCTTTTTTCACTTTTTTTCTGTGCACTTAGGTCTTTTCTGAATTTAGCATCGACTGCACTTAGGTCTTTTATGAATTAGTACGACGATATGTAATCAAATACGGTCCAAGTTAGAAGAATAGCCGATAGATGACCGACAGAATTGTGAATATAAATACGCTTCTCAGAATTAGTGCATATTTTCAATAATTTTTGCACAATCGAATATGTAGGATTTGTTACCAGGGCCAAAAAGGTTCAATTAATTTGCGAAAATTAAGGAGAAGCTTTGTTCCTCGACTCATCTACTTACTTGACGCAATGCTTTCCTCAAAGTCCAAAAACGTGTTGATTATTTGACCTGGGCCGTTATCCAAGTGGTAATTCCAACGAATCATTGTTGCTACAAAGTAAGTCATGAAGAAACCAAAACCTTGCAATTTTTCCATTTTGGTCAACGGACCGATGCAAAGATTTGTAAATTGTGCTGTACAATACACGACAGAAAGAATGCATTGTAGTTGAAACATGCGGATTTGACGGTGGGATCGACACATTACCAATTTCTTGGATGTAGGACCAAATTCGAACGGCACACATTGCCAGATTTTGCATATTCGTAGACGAATCTTTAGGATCGGAAGGAACTCTGTCCGATACATTGTAAATATTATTACGTACAAACTTTGCCAATCCGAGCTATATTAGTGTAATCTGACACAGTTATTTGATTATTTTTTTAAATGATTCGTGCCTGAATAAATTTTACTCGCGGTTGACGTTGGATGTGACAGAAAATTGGGGTGACCAAAATCAGTGGGATATGTAAAATATTGACGTATTGCTGACATTGTGTAAGTATTTATCTTGGTTACCAGCTTGTTGGAGGTATTAGTTTATGATATAAATGGATCAATTAATTGATTCCAAAGCGACAAATGGGAATTACTGGAAGCTTTTTAACTACAGTAAATTTCCATGAGGATTATTTATCAGGGAATAATTAACAAACCATTTCCTGTTGTTGAACCATTTATGTGTACATAAGACGAATTGCTCGCATGGGAAAAGTGTATTCAATATGTTTAAGTTGATAAATGATGACGCTAAGTTATTGTAAATATGTTTATTGACTACACTGACTGTCCTAGCTTTATTATTTAGTATTTTGTCATTTCGCTCAAATGTTATTACCGACCTCACAATCAACGATATGTAAACAATTGGCTTGATGATGCATTCGTCGGATTTGTCAGAGGTTTTACGGTGCAATGTTCCTGATTATTTTAACTCTATAGAATTTCCATAAGATGTATATCATACATTCATAGGCAGGCCCCGTTTTAGGTATAGGCGACCTAGGCAACCGCCTAGGGCGCCAGAGATTTGGGGGCGCCGGTAGGCGCCCACGTACACTAGATAAAACCAGCTTTGTGAAATTCTTAATTTGACGTGGCAGAGAGCATATAAATGACTGATTTTCACTGAATTCTGTGGCACAAAATTTTATTTGTGAGTATTGTTCACAACTTTTCGCTTGCAAATCAGGCCAGATAAACTAGCAATTTCTTGTTACAATGCTTACAAATCTTGCAATGCAATTTCTTCTTCTTATGTACACTTACAGTGAAGAAGTGTGAGGTGGTTCTGTCAGATTTTGACCGGGCCAATTTTAAATTGTTCACGTAATTCAAAAGCTCAGAAAGAGCTTCATTGCGTTTTTTTCCTATTGTTTTAGCTATCGACAGAATTTTGAAAATTTTCAGCCAAAACTTCGATTTTTTTAAAACGCTTTAACTATTCGAATATAACCAGAGTTAAAAAAAGCAAACATTTTTGCTCATAATTGCTGCCCTAAACTTCTATATAGTCATTTTCTACTTTTTATTTTCAAAAAATTAATATTTTTGGGTCTCTGCCACGTCAATAAAGGTTCAAAAACACTCGTAGTATGAAAATTTCTAATTTTAGAAGTTTTGAAAAATTATTTTTATAATTTCAAAGAATTAATCCAGAACAAAAATCCCTTGATTTTTTAAAGCGGATAAAATCCGAAAAATAACCGCATTTTTTTAAATCCAAATTTGTGGATGAAAATTTATTCTAAACCATATTCTAAAATCGCTTATTTCTGAGCATACACAATTTCAATTTCGTCCAGCTAAACTCGGAAGTAAAACCCTACACCTCTCCTGTGTTAATATGATTTAATTTTGAATTTTGAATAAGTGGAAATCTTAATGACACTGTGCCATAACAACATTCAATGATGCGATTAAAAATATTAAATTAAATGCATTTAAAAATGCTAATTTGTGGTAGTGCACTTCTTGTTAAAGTAAAATGAAAATTTAGTTAGGATTATATCGTATGGTGTGGTAAAGTGTTTGGGTGCGCCGACAGTGCCAGCACAATTTAGGGCGCAATTACGGTTTTGCCTAGGGCGCCAAACTACCTAGAACGGGGCCTGTTCATAGGGTCATGAGATACAGATGCATACTATCTGACACGCACATTGAATTTTCTATAATTAATGCAGAACTGATCCATCTACAAAATATCATGCGAGCCATTTTTTAGGTCATGTTATACTATGTATTAAAATTTTTAAATATTTACTAAAAATCCTTGTGGCCTGTAATTGCAATAAACCGTTGCAAACGAAACATAGCAAAGGGGTGAAGTGACACGGTCACGTGGTCATTGTACGTCAAAACTATGTTGATTTTTGAAATCCCCGTCAAAAGCTACGTCCAAAACGATCAACACATTAAATTCATCACGTTTGACCACTGGTCTCATCCCTGTGGCGCCGTGACCTGATGAGCTGCGAGGCCCATCTTCGAACTTGTCCGTACTTTGAAAATTAGAAACACATGGGCGGAAACAGCATGTCGAAATTCGAATCAGTGCAAAAGACATAGCGGATACAGACAGACAAATAGACAAGACATTTCCGTACAATGATTTAGCTTCGCTTTACCCCGTAATATTGGGGGGAAAATATTTAAATAGTCACAAAATGGCTAAAATGTTGGTTAGGCTACTGGTGAAAAATTCATTATGTTAAAATGCGATAAAATGCCCAATATTCTAAAGCACTTATATAATCCAACTTTGCACGAACAAGCTACTTTGGGGTGGGCATAAAGCAGAACCACCCCTATCCAACATCTGAAACTGCAGAGATATGTGCATAATGACCGGTCAGCTCACGCAAAAACCCTAACAAATGAATATTTAACTTATTCACGTAACTATAATTATTTAAATGCATTTTCTAACTATTGATCGACTCTCTTACATATAGTAGACATCCAAATGTAAACAGTTCGTAGACTAAAAAACGAACTTGCAACGTTAAAATAAATAATAGTTTCATACCCACTTTGAACCTTTATGCAAACATGTATCACTATTTTAACACGTTATAGCTACTGAATCTGCATACATACATTATCTGTCTTATTGTTAGTTTTAATTTTAGAGAGTCTCTTCTTAGTTATTTGTGCCCAGGAAACGTATTTCAAGCAAATAAATATATCCTAAGATAGATAATTTAGTAATTTCTGATTCCGAGCACGATTTCAATCAAAGTTACTCATCGTGTATTTTTTTAAAAATTTTACTCATCATCTTGTTAAGAAATATTTAGTTATGGCGTTTGTATGCCACATTTCTCATATCATACTCATCCTTCCTCTCCTATTTCCCTTTACGGTCCCCACCTTCCCAAAATTATTTAATTCTTGCACCCTCCAATTCTTCCTTCTAACCGGAGAACCACGAAAACCCATCCAACTTTCCCACATAGCCCCGTACTTTAACCAGATTCGTCTTTCCAACCCGTCCACACCTTTACTAATAAATGGCATATTCTACAACCAAACCGACATGTACCTTTTAAACACAAATTTCCCCTTTTTCGCTACTTCCCCCCCGAAGAAACGACAAGGTCACTTAATCACATTTGTAAACTTGGAAATTAGCCCGCGTAAAATTGTACAATTCG